TACACAACAGTCTGTCTAGTGAGCAAATTTCAAATACTTAGACAAATTTGAACAAAAACAAAAAAATTTGATTAAAATGAGCCGGCCATAAAAGACCAGCAGAATATTCAAAACCCCGGCCCCCTGGCCGGGTAATTACAAAGCAAACGGCACGCAGGCCGTGAAAAGAAAAAATATACTTAAAGCTTAAGAAGGGGGCAGTTCAGTATCAGCAGCAGCCGCCTGGTCAGCACTCTTCTTGCTGGACTCGGCCTTCGCTGCATCATCTTTTGATGCCTTTCCCCCAAGTGGCACAAGCGCCACAACCGGCTCTTCCTCCTCCAACGCAACGTCCATCGCCTCTTCTTCAGCAGCCGCCAGGATCTGTTGATTATATATTTCCGAACACTGGCGGTACGTTCTTTCCCATGAGGCAAAGTCGGCACTGGGGAACAGTCGTTCCCAGGTCATGCGTTGGATTTGGGCGGAGTCTTCCACCATCTCCCGGACGAGCTCTTGTTTTTCTTGCTCGGCCTTGTCCGAGAGCTCTTGGGTAAGACTCTTCTCCTGGTTCACCAGGCGTTCTTTTACGTTAGCCAAAGATTTCTCCATGGCTTCGTAAGAGTGCATTTTCTGGCGAAGGGGTTTCAGCTCGGCTTTAAATTTGGTGACGGTCCCCTCCAGCTCGTCAACCTTCTTTTGGGCCGCCTCTAGCTGAGCCCGAACAGCGGCGGTCGCCTGCGCCTGATAATAAAGAAGATCAATGGTCAGTACTTCATTTTGGGCAATTTGAAACATTGCTTTATCACAGCTGGAGGCGGCCATAGCCTTTGCGGCCTTTACCTCTTTGTTTTTCCGATCAATCGGCTTGCGAAGGCTGTTGACTCGGAGCAGGGCCTAAGTACAAAGAAAAACAGGCGTCAGTTTCCAATCAAAAGGGTTAACAGGCGTCCTGGAACTTCAAAAGGGTATACCTCAGCTAGGATCCCCGAAATTCCATCGAGGTCAAGGGTGCCGGCACCCTTGACCGCCTCCCTGTCAGAGGGAGGAACTACTTTAACCATTGACTTGGCTACCTCAACCAAGTCAAGTCCCTGGGGGCCGGCTGCATTAAGCAAAAGGAAAAACAAGTTAGACCTAATCAAGAAGGAAGCAAGAGTGAGTTTTTACAAGCAAGTGTCCATACATCTAGGCGGCCCCGCCTGGGTTTTTGAGGAAGTGGCCGGCTGCTTCTCAGCCGCCACTGTTTTCCTGGAAGACCCAGGAGAGCTTGCAACAGTCGTTCTCCGGGCCTTGGGGTCCGGCTGTTGCGAGGAAGAAGCCCTTGGAGTGCCAGACTGAAAACAAAAAGAGTTAGTATATGCATAATACAACTTAAAGGGGAAGAGTTTTCAAAGCTGACCAAGGGTGCCTCCTTGCTGGGGGAGTCGGCGTACGACTGCTTCATTAGTGAAACCCGCAGCATGGCCGCCGCAGTCTTAGATGCTGTTATTTTACTCATGGCGTCGGCTGAAAGAAATAAACAGCAAAGTTAGTAAAAATCCCAAGTAAACAAGGCGTGAAAAAACAGAGTATTCGTCAGGCCGGCTACCTCTAGAGCACCGACTGCCGAGGCCACAGGCGGCCAAGAAGTACTCATCATAGAGCCACTTGAAGCTCGGGACGCAGTGTAGGGGTACTTGCTCTCGTACCCCTGAAGTAGAGTTCACCCTAGTCTCTACTTTGAAGAGTCCTTTGTCTAGGATCTCTCTTTTAGCCTTTGGGGGAACAGGCGGCATGCTGCGGCCGCCTGCAAGAAGAGGCGGATCCCTGTTCCACTTGTTAAAACGTTTGTTCAGCTCCGTGTCTGAACTCTCGATAATAAGGAAGGTGTTCCGCCAATCCTTCCATTTGTTTGCCTTACCTCTCGTCATGAGGTAACCCCTGTGGCTTGTTAGTTGATACCAGCCGGTACCTCCCGACTTAGGGGTCCGGCTGAGATAGTTCATGTGGGCGAAAGCCTCAAAACTTGGCTCCACCCCGTTCAGTTCGCACCCGGCCACATAGCCGAGTACGTTTACCCAAGAGTTGGGGGCTAACTGCCATAACCCCAGATCATACCCATCTAAAATCCGCTGAACAGCCGGATGTAATGGGAAGCGCAGACCAGCTTTGATGGCCGCCACATAGCAGCCAAAACAGCCGTCACCATAGCTGGTACCAGCCGGCCAGACGACAGTATCTTCTGGATCCGGCACAAACAGTAAATACTCCGGGCCCATTTTGTGGTTAGCAATAAAGCTCGCCACGTTGTCTCGCATGGTTGCGATCCGGCCCCGGGGCACCCTGCAGTAGTAGGGGGTGTTTTCCTCTCTGTAAGAGGCGGACGGCTCTGCCCAATTATCCCCCTTCTCCACTGCATGGGAACTTCTCGCCTCTTGTAGGCGGTTATGTTTTTCTTCTGAGTCAGAAGAACTATGGTCAGAAGAACTATGGTCAGAAGAGCTGGAATCGGACTCGTCCCCTGACGAGTCCGAAGAGGACGACGCCTCCCCTCTCCTAGAGGGGCCCGCCTCCTCTCCCTTAGAAGGAGCAGAAGGTAAATTAGACATGTCCACGGTTAGATGAGAAGGGAACACCTTGGTCCCTCTCTCAGAACTGTCAGCTTGACAGTCGCCTCGTTCCACATCTGGCGCCTGGTCAGATGTTTCGCTAAGGAGTACCCTTTGGGAGGAGCCGTCTGAGTTTGATATTCTAGCAGTCTTTTTTGTTCTGGCCATCACGTTCTGCATAGACACAGATTCAGTCGGACTCTGTATAAAGGGCAAAGATGGGTCCAGAAAAGGGCAGGCGGCACTCCTAGTCCTAGATTCAGCCGTCCCCGGTGACCGGCTGATCACTAACTTAGGGCGTGTCGTGTGCTTCCATGGTGCCATTTCAAAAAATAAAAAGAAAATTAAGAGTAAGAGAACTGAGTTACCTGAACGGATGACAGTTGATGAAGTCCTGAAAGTTCGGGTCAGTCGGCTTGTCAGAACAGGCGGTAGGCAGAAAAAGTCCGAAAATGTCAGATCAAGTTCAGGGGTCCGAATGTTCTCGCAAAAATTCTCAAATGTGAAAATGACCGAAGTCAGCACTTCCTTTTATAGGCAAAATGAGAAGGCGAAGGGTCGCTTCCGAATTCAAATTTGGGCGGGAGAATCTCCCGGCCGTCTGCAAGGTGACACCTGTAACGGGCCGTCGCCTGTCACCGTGCGACACCTGTCACAGGCGACACGTGACCAGTCGCGTGCCACCTGTGAGGGGCAAATGATTAGGGGATTTTTATCCACCAAGCGCCGTTTGACAAGTGGACCAACCAGGTTCCGCCACGCGTCCTCCACGGACCACTTAAGACACGCCACGTGTCCACCCATGCCAAATGGGACAACCGGCCATCAAGGCCCATTTCAGTCTAGAAGCCCGATCGGCCCTAGGTTTACCTTAAACCTAGAGAGTTGCACGCTTCCCAAGGCTATAAATACTCGATTAATCCTCATTAATCAAGGGACCGAATAATTAACAGAACAGAGGAGAAACATTACGGAACACACTAATAACCGGCTGATTTCGCTAGCAAAGCAGATTACCTACATTAAATACTCTCACCTAGAGAGACCTTATTACTTTAATTTCTGTGTTAATTACTCCTTAATCAGGTACTAACTTGACCGTTGGAGGCGGAGCTCTCAGGAGTCTCCGTTATTTTGCAGGTACAGGCGTCCGGTTCCAGTCTCGGAATTGTAGCTCTCCCGCAGGACATCAGAAAACCCCAAAACAAATACGATATCATCAGCAAACATCATGGTAATTCCGTCCATCATGCATTCATGGTATATCTTCTTAAATTGAACTTGTCAATCCATCCATGACTATGCCAAAAACAAAAGGGCTAACCGTACATACTTGATGTCACTATATTTCCATTTCCACCTAATGACTTGTTATAAAGCCTACCAAGGTATCTTACTCAACACTCTATCATAAATTTCTTTTCCAAATCAATAAAAATCATATGTAAATCATTCTTCTCTATTAGTTGTTTCATAACATGGATTGCCTCCATCGCTGATTTTCCATACATAAAGCTAAATTGATTATCCTAGATCTTCACACTTCCCCTCAAAATAATGTCACCTCATATCCTAATTTGATATTTTTGTTTTTCTTAAAGGTTAGTATAAAAATAAGGTCAAAGTTTAGTCTACCAGAGAAAATAAGTAAAAATTCATAATAGATGAGCTGAACATAGCCTATGTCTCTCAAATCATTAAAATTACTAAATATAGTAAACTGGACCGCTCTAATCATCCCTATGCTATACTAAAGAGCCTCTAAAACAAAGGTTTCACTTATGTGACGCTTTACCTCAATGACAAAAGATTTTTTCTTACACAAGGACTCATATAGGGAGTTCTAGTAAATTACTTTGCAAGAACAAGTACCTGACTGTCTCACTATTAGCAGAACACTGGACACATATGAGGAGATATCATTTTTGATGGTCCTTAAGGTTGCGAGGTCTCACCATTGATACATAGCCATCCAAGGATTCAAATTCCATAAATTAGCAATCTATGCAAAGTTTAAGGACGATGGCTCTCCACCTATTCACATCATTCATTTTGGTTGAAAAAAAAAATATGAATGCCATTATAGTAAAAACTTAACCACCTCCACCCTAAAGATGCAGCCCAATCCAGCAAGCAAAGAGTAGTTACTTTGTGTTCATTATAATTAAAGCATCATTTTTGCTCCGGAATAGAATAATAGCTTCAAGTTTTGATTATTTCATGTTTTCTATACTTCAATATAGTGACTCCTTCGATTGGTGTTGCAATAAGTGACTAAAATTATTCATGATTCTTAATGTCATTCTTGATCAACCCTTATTTGAATTTGTATGAACTTATTAATCCGGAAATAAGTAAATTATAAGGTAAATTCAATAAAATTTACGTCTTAGCAAGAGGAAAAAACATGTAGCGAGTGTGATAAATTTGGAAGTTGAATCTGCAAATGCCACACCTAACCTCAATTGTAGACGTTGCAGCATGATGTATATAATGTCTTGCATCATCATGAAAGAATCTCCCAGATGTATTTTCTGTAAAACCCCAGATATACTGCACATAGAAAACAATGCGAAAGTCGCGGAATAAACAACGATATCTTCCATACTTGACATATGCAAAAAAATATGAATACCCATTTACCTTAGACATTGAAGAAGAATTGATAATGGCGTTAGAGTTGCATAACAATCGAAATTGATTCAACCCAGTTCTTGAAATCTGGGAACATCCTCTTGAGAACAACATGGTTTTTTTTCTAATGCCAAATCAAAGAAGAAATCGAAGGGTAAGACGGGAGAAACAAGCTTGAAATGACGGACAATAATTAAATTAACGATTAACAATAGAATGTGATAATAATGTTCGATTATTAAAAAAAAATTGAGAAGAAGAATATATGCAATCTTACCTCAGAAAGCTGGTTCAATGGAGGAGAGGAAGCTCACTAGCCGCTTCAATGGAGAAGTCAGAGACGGTAATGGAGAGAGAGTGAGAAGGGAAGGGTGCAGCTACGCAGCATAAACGTTGAAATAGCTCTAAAGGGGGGAAATAAAATATACGAGTACTCCGTAGGAAAGAATATTACTGACACAATGACAAGTGGGTAGAGTTGTCAATTTCTAACCCGAATAGCTAAACCCAACTGTTCCGAACTGATTCGGAAATAAATCGAACCAATAAAAATCTGTTTTTTGAAAATTGAAAACTGATCCGACCTAATTTTTTTTACCGGAAATTGAACCGAACTGATTTTGTGCAAACCGTTAATGATCCGATCTGTTTGAACTGAAAATGTTTAAACACGACAAAAATCCGATAAACCCGAACCGTTCCAACCCGTAACCTTTTATGACCGAACCATTTATAACCCATAACCTGTTGTGACCGAACCATTTTCAACCCGTAACCCATAAAGATCAAACCATTTATAACCCGTAACGCGTTATAATTGAGTCGTTTACAACCCGTAGATAACCATATGCGGATAATGATAACCATGACGCAAATTTTGAGGAAGGATTTTCGTTTAGTTGTTCCTTTTAAATTCCCTCCAAAAATAACTCCAACGTCAACAAATTTGCGGGCTTGATATTAGAATGTACTTCGTATGTAATTACCATTAATCTAAGAAATTCATACTCCCTCCATTTTTAAATACTTGATCCATTTTTCTATGCGCGGAGTCTTAGGAGAAATTGGAGAAAGTAATAAAATATGGAGGTAGTGGGGTTGATGGAAGAATAAAAAATTTAAAAAGCAAAAGTAGTTGAGAGAATATGAAATTAATAAAATATGATTTATGTTAGGTCCACTAGTTAAGAGAAATGAATTAAATATTATATAAGCTTTCCAAATAAGAAAATGGAGCAAGTATTTATAAACGGCCGGAAAAATAAAAAGTGAAGCAAGTATTTAAAAACGGAGGGAGTATTTAATATTGTAGAACAAATAAGCTGTGACTCCATAAGTCTTAACCAACCAACAATACATTTTGAAAAACCGAAAAATCAGAAAGTATAACTTTCAGCTTTTTAGGTCTCTTTGTTAGATAGTTTAATTCCAACTGCTGCGAGCTTATCTTAATCCAGACAATCGGTAGGGCCGTTTATTTTTAAGTTTATAGAGTAATGTACCACCCAAATAGGAGATGCTCTCTGCGACGAAGTCACCCAAATGGATGTCATACTTGTTTCGGGGTTTTCTGATGTCCTGCGGGAGAGTTACAATTCCGTGACTGGAACCGGACGCCTGTACCTGCAAAACAACGGAGACTCCTGGTGGTGGGAGCTCCGCCTCCAACGGTCAAGTTAGTACTTGATTAAGGAGTAATTAATGCGGAAATTAAAGTGATTGGGTCTCTCTAGGTGAGAGTGTTTAATGTGTGTAATCTGCGTTGTTCGCGTAATCTCCCTTAATGAGGATTAAGGGAGGTATTTATAACCTCGGGAAACGTGCCAATCTAGGTTTAGGTTAACCTTGGGCTGATTGGGCTTCCCTCAGAAGTTGGGCCTAGGTGACCGGCTTCTCCATTAGGCATGGAGTATGCCACGTGTCATGACATAATAAGTCCAGGGTGGACGAATAAGCGTGTGCCACGTGGCAAGCCCTGAGATGTCCAACTGGGGGACACTTGGCAGGACCTGATTGGCCCACGTGGCGCATTCCGATTGGTGGGAGCAAAATCCCCTAATCATTTGCCCCTCACAGGTGGCACGTGACTGGTCACGTGTTACCTGTGACAGGTATCGCCCTGTAACAGGCGACGGCCTGCTACAGGTGTCACTCGGCGAGAGGCCGAGAGATTCTCCCGCCAAAATTTTGAATTCTGGAAGTGACCCTTCGCCTTCTTACTTCGCCTATATAAAGGAGTGTTGACTTCGGTCATTTTCACACTTGAAAACTTTGTGAGAGAACATTCGGACCCCTGAACTTGCTCTGACATTTTGGACCCTTTCTGCCTACCGCCTGCTCTGACAAGCCGACTGCAAAGGATTTTCAGAACTTCATCAATCGTCACTCGTTCAGGTAACCGTCGGTTCTCTTACTCTTAATTTTCTCTTTACTTTATTCTTTTTTGAAATGGCACCACGAAAGCACACGACACGACCTAGGTTAGTGATCAGCCGGTCACCGGGGACGGCTGAATCTAGGACTAGGAGTGCCGCCTGCCCTTTTCTGGACCCATCTTTGCCCTTTATACAAAGTCCGACTGTATCTGTGTCTATGCAGAGCATGATGGCCAGAACAAAAAAGACTGCCAGGATCTCAAACTTAGACGGCTCCTCCCACAGGGTGCCGATTAGTGAAACATCTGACCAGGCGCCAGATGTGGAAGTGAAACAAAGCGGCTTGAAAGCCGACAGTTCTGAGGGAGGAGTCAAAGTGACCCCTTCCCATTTTACAGTTGACAATTCTACATTCTCTCCTGCTCCTTTTAAAGGAGAGGAGGCGGGCCCCTCCGGGAGAGGGGAGAAGTCGTACTCTTCGGACTCGTCAGAGGACGATTCCGAGTCTAGCTCTTCTGGCCATGCTTCTCTGGACATAGAAGAGAAAAACTGTCGCCTACAAGAGGCGAGGCTTTCTCACGCAGTTGAGAAGGGGGACGATTGGGCGGAGCCATCCGCCTCTCACCGAGAGCAAAATACCCCCTACTACTGCACGGTACCTCGGGGCCGGATCACGGCCATGCAAGAGAAAGTGGAGAGCTTTATCGCAAACCACACAATGGGCCCCAGCTTTTTAGTGTTCGTGCCGGATCTAGAAGACACAGTCGTCTGGCTGGCTGGTACCAGTTATGATGGCGCCTGCTTTGGCTGCTACGAGGCGGCCATCAAGGCTGGCTGCGCTTCCCACTACATCCGGCTGTTCAACGGATCTTGGATGGGTATGAGTTGGGGTTATGGCAGTTAGCCCCGAACTCCTGGGTCAACGTACTCGGCTATGTGGCCGAGTGCGAACTGCACGGGGTGAAGCCGAGCTTCGAGGCTTTCGTCCACATGAACTACCTTAGCCGGACCCCTAAGGCAGGCGGTACCGGCTGGTATCAATTGACGAGCCACAGGGGCTACCTCATGACGAGAGGTAAAGCAAACAAATGGAAGGACTGGCGGTGCACCTTCTTCATTATTGAGAGTTCAGACACAGAGCTAAACAAGCGCCTCAACAGGTGGAACAAGAATCCGCCCCTTCTTGTAGGCGGTCGCAGCATGCCGCCTGTTCCCCCCAAAGCTAAGAAAGAGATCCTGGATAAAGGACTCTTTAAAGTAGAGTCGAGGGTCGACTCTACTTCAGGGGTACGAGAGCAAGTACCCCTGCACTGCGTCCCGAGCTTCAAATGGCTCTACGACGAGTACTTTTTGGCCGCCTGTGGCCTCAGCAGTCGGTGCTCAAGAGGTAGCCATCCTGTCGAATACTCTGTTGTTCCATGCATTTCTTGTTATGACTTTTATTAACTTTGCTATTTGTTTTTGCAGCGGACGCCATGAGCAAAATTACCGCCTCCAAGACTGCGGCGGCCATGTTGCGGGCCTCCATCATGCAACAGTCTTCAACCGACTCCCCCAACAAGGGGGCACCCTTGGTGGGCTTCGAACCTTTCACCCTCTTTTTGGAGTTGTGTTTATGCATATACTGACTCTTTTCTTCTTTTTTAGACGGGCGCTCCAAGAGCTTCTTCTTCCCAACAGCTGGATCCCAAGGCCCGGAGGACGACTGTTGCGAGCTCTCCTGGTTCTGCCAGGAAACATGTGGCGGCTGAGAAACAGCCGGCCACTTCTTCTAAAACTCCAGCTGGGCCACCTAGAAGTATGAAATTGTCCTTGTAAATTTTAGACTTGCTCCCTCCTTTACTAGGTCTAATCCGTTTGTTTATGCTTGATGCAGCCGGCCCTCAGGAGCCTGACTTGGTCGAAGTGGCCAAGTCTATGATCAAAGCTGTTCCTCCAGCTGAAAGGGAGGCGGTCAGGGGTGTCGGCACCCTTGACCTAGACGGGATTGCAGGGGTCCTTGCTGAGGTATACTTAGCATATTTTTGAGTATTTGAATTCTAGGACGCCTGTTTTATTTTTTGTTTGGAAACTGACACCTGTTCCCCTTTTTACTTAGGCCCTGCTCCGAGTGAACGGCCTTCGCAAGCCACTTGACCGGAAGAACAAAGAGGTAAAGGCTGCAAAAGTTATGGCCGCCTCTAACTGTGATAAGGCAATGTTTCAAATTGCCCAAAATGAAGTTTTGACCATTGATATTCTTTATTATCAGGCGCAGGCTACCGCCGCTACCCGGGCTCAGTTAGAGGCGGCCCAGAAGAGGAATAGCGAGCTGGAGGCGACCATCAACAACCTCAAGGCCGAGCTGAGACCTCTTCGCCAAAAGATGTCCTCATACGAAACCTTGGAGAAATCCTTGGCGAGCGTAAAGGTACGCCTGGTGACCTAGGAGAAGAGTCTTACTCAGGAGCTCTCGGAAAAGGCCGAGCAAGAAAAGAAAGAGCTGGTCCGGGAGATGATGGAAAACTCTGCTCAAATCCAGCGCATGACTTGGGGCCGCCTCTTCCCCAATGCCGACTTTGCCTCCTAGGAAAAAACGTACCACCAGTGTTCTGATAGATATAATCAAGAGATCCTGGCGACTGCTGAGGAAGAGGCACTGGAGGAGGAGGAGCAGCCGGTGGTGGCGCTTGTGCCGCTTGGGGGTAATACATCAAAGAAGGATGCAGCTGAAGCCGAGTCCAGCAAAAAGAGTGCTGACCAGGCGGCAGCTGCTAATATTGAAGATCTGCCCCCTTCATAAGCTTTATGTCTTCTTTCCCCGGCCTGCGTGCCGTTTGTTTGTATTTACCCGGCCAGGGGGCCGGGGCTCTGAATATTTTGCCGGTCTTTAATGACCGGCTTCTTTTTAATGAATATTTTTGTTTTGCTTCAAATTTGTTTAAGTATTGAATATTCTGATATCCAATTGTACACTATACCGACTGTTTTACATGGCCGATAGTTGCAGACAGGTACGGATAGTTAGTAACGCCGCCTATGCCCCTGGACAACTGGTTGTCTGTTTCCAGGCTAG